CCCACCCCAGCTGTTGGACAGATGAATTACAGCCTCCTGCTTGGGGCCAGGGCTGGTGAGGGATTAAAGCTCTGAGGTTGGCCCTTTAAAAGGCTGTTGGCCCCTCCCCCACTCTGGTGTTCAGACCCCCCCATACACCCATCTGACCCCCTACGCTCCCCTTCACTCCCCAAGTCTGCCCTCAGGCCTTCCCATTCTCTAGGGTAGACCTTCCCCAGCACCCTCCCTCCACAAATGCTGTCAACTGAGGGTAAACTCCCAAGTCCTTAATTTGTAACCTCCCTATCCCAAAGGGTGTCCAATCCCTAGCACCTTTCTCCAGTAGAAGGGCCTTGCCTGTGTGGTTTTCTCAGCCTGCAGCTGACCACTGCCCCTTACTAAGGGGCTTGCATGGGTCAGAAATAAGCCTCCCCTCGGGGCAGTGTCATCAGCAGCCATGGAAGCTTGCAGCACATTGCGTCATGGAGGCTGGGGTCCAGAGACCTAAGTCTCTGGGGCAGCGGGAAAGATGGGGAAGTTAGGCTGGGAGCCCAAATGCCTGGGTCCTAGGGTATGGAGAGTGGAAAACAGGTCCCTGAGGAGTAAGTCTGAGGTGAGGGTTGACTGAGGTATGACCCCTGTGTTGACACCCCAATGCAGGGGCCTTAGACTTGAATTAGTAGACCTAGCTCTTTGTATCTGAGGATTGGAAGGGAAGGGAGTGGGCCCCAAGCACTTTCTTAGACCACACAGAGGAAGGTGGTGATGGGGAAACAGGATATGGCCTTGGAGGTGATATGGAGGGAGGCCTTACTGCAGAGGCTACTTCCCAGCTCAGGCCCAGAGTCTTGTGGAGGAATAGGGCTCCTCCCTGTAGGGCCCGTTCATCTAGTCTGGCCACCTGTGCCGCTCGCCAGGACCTGCCTGTACCTGCCTAAGGGAACAGGAGGGGGCAGAGTCCAAAGGGTGGGGTTGACTATCTGGTGTCTTGATAAGGTTGGGGAGGAACCTCTGGGTTGGAGGAAACTGAGCTGAAGGATTAGGGTCTGTAAGTCCTGGGTCAGAGCTAGGGCTGGCTTGGGTATAGATGTAAGGGGTAACCACTTAATCTGGGGCCAGGAATCTCAGCAGGAGGGTCCAGTCAGAAATAGGATCATGGATTGTTACCCATTGTAGACTTAGGTGCCACAGCATGCCCACTACCACCTGGATCAGGCTGTCTTCTGAGGGGAAGGTTGGAAGATGGCTTTTTCTGGTTGCCATGGAAACTGATTCTCCTGTCTCATCTGACCTCTAGAACCAGGTTTCTCCTCAGCAAGAGAACAGGGAACACAGGGAAATCTTCCATCCTGGGAGACCCCACCTCTAACTGGATGTTTTCTTTTAGGTTCCCCCAGGCACCATGCCAGCCCTATAGCACTATCCACCGCACTACACTACGGTCTGCTGTACCCCACTGCTGGGGCGCTGGTTCCAATGAAACAGAACACATCAAACTCCATCTGGTAAGCCTGGCTGCTGAGTGCCCCCCTCACCCGAAGTCCAACTCTTCACTGCATGTTCGAAAATCTTTCGTATGATCTGGTTCTTGCCTACTCATCAGAATGGTCCAGTCCAACTCTGAGCCTTCTCCCCACATGTGGTGCTTGAATGGTTCAGCCCTCCTGGTTTATGGAGCTCCCCCTCTGTCTCCTATGAATGGTTTAGCCCTCTACTTCTCCAGCCTCCCTACTACCACTAGATCTTCTACCCCAAGCTCCTAGTGCTACAACTCAGTTGCTGATGGAAGAAAGCTAGGGTTTGCAGGCTGAAAGTAGATGTGTGATACTCCAGAGGGATTTCTTCTTGTGAAAGGGAAGGCTTTTTCTTTTACGGGAGCAGCTAGACTTATAAAGGGTGTTTGGAAATTGATGTGAGGCGATACTAGCGATCACTACCACACAGCTCATGGTTGCCATGGCAATCTTAGCATGTCACTTTTCCTCTCAGATCTCCTTTGACCCAGTCTCTCCATGAGGCACTAGAGCTTTTGCTCTCCATACCTGAACTCTGCCAGTTTTCTGCTTGAGACCTTCCATTCTCCGTTCCTCCCCAGTTACATAGGGATTTTTCCCTAGCCAGGAACTTCAATCTCTTCCTCGTTACTCTTTTTTTTTCCAAATGAGTTTCTTGAGTAGGACTATTTTCTCCAGTCTGCCCTGTTTGGCATGGTGGTGTTTACACATTGGGGTGCCTTTGTGGATTTGTACTGAATGGATGTTGTAACTGGGTGCGCTGTTTCATTGCCAAGAAACCTACGGCTTCTGAGATATACTGCAGAATCTCCTACCCACACCTTCTCTAGAGGATATGAGACATTTGGGATAGTAACAGAAGGGAAGGCTGGTCTAAGAGAGCATGCAAGGATAACACAAAGGGAGAACAGGTCAGAAGGACAATGATAGGAATATGGCTCTGGAAAGAAGCCCAGCTATTCTGCTCACTTGCAGAAAGACCTTGGTTGAGTTACCTAACCGTACTAAGCCTCAGTTTCCTCATTTGCAACATGGGGTAATCAAAGTACCTCCTGTACCAGGTTTTGGGGAAGATTTAAATGATACATGTAAAATGTTTAACAGTGTCTGCCAAAGTAATAAATACTAGCAATTATTGCCATCATGATTCTCTGCAGGGAGCTCTGAGGATTAAGGGAGGATATTGAGGAATGGGACAGAACTTTTTGAAGACAGACCACCAAATAATTGACTAAAGAGGAGGATCACCAGCCCAATAAGGTTTCAGGATTCAGGAGAGTTAGGCGATGGGGTCCTCTGCCTCCAATGTTTTCACTGGCTCTGTTTGAGAGCGTGAAGGCGAACACAGAAGGGCATGTGCAGAGACACACGTGATCACCACCGCGCTGCAGAGGCAGACCTAGACAAAAGACTGAGAGAGGAGCCAGGCAGACACACAGACAGGCAGCCCCGTGGAGTCATGTAGACAGGGCTAATGATAGGAACGCGCCAGACACAGGCACCGAGGGAGACAAGATGAGCAGATACGCAGGTGCACAGGGAGACAGACACCGAGACCCACACACAGCCGACCTTGTCAGACAGACTGGTGAACACAGCGCCCAGTCAGAGGCAGACACAACGCCCGCAGTGACACACAGCGGGCCAGGACCAACACTGTCACTCCTCGGTGGGGGCGGGGAGCGGCCGGCGGCGGGGGAAGGCTGGGGAAGGGAATCCCGGGTGGGCGGCCTGCCCGGGTGGCTGAGTCACCGCGGAGCCACAGCGGGCGGTGCTCCCTCCGTCTGGCCTCCCGGTCTCCCAGGTGAGAAGCGAGCCGGTAACTTCCCAGCTTCCACCAAGTAGAATGAGGACTGCCGGGGAGCCGGACGCGGCAGGCTCCGGGGCCCGCCCCTCCGTGGAGCGGGTTCGGGCGTGCCACTTAAATGTCAGGTCTGGAGAAACCCGTCTGCGGGGTCTCGTCTTTGGTCGTCCAGTGTTCGCTTGCGGACAACAGCTTCGCACCTAGCATCCCTCTTACATACCGCAGCCAGGCCGCTGCGCGGAGAGGGGAAGGGCATAAATGTCATCAAAATATTTCTATGAAATTCACAAAAATTCAATTAAATTATTTTTTAAGTAACACACATATACTGTATGGAACCCCCCCCCCCCCCCCCCCCCCGCCAAACCCTGAGAGAGTTAAGTGGGTGTGACTGATGGAGAGCTTCTCTCCGGGGACTAAAAGGGGAAGGGGGGGTAGGTTAAATTCCCTGAGTCCAGAGCCCGGATGCTGAGGGCGGAGCTGGGCTTTGCCCGGAGTGCCCGGATGGAGAGGGCGTGGTCTCGTCAGGATCAGAATTAACCGTTTCCGAGCTCTAGGCCCTCGGGGCTGTAGGTAGGGCTGAGAAGGCTGGATGGTCGGTCCCAGAAGTGTGTCGCCCTCCCGGCCTGGCTCTGGCCGTGTGTGTCTCCCTTCTGTTTGTCTCCGAGGAGTCTGTGGGTGTCTGTCTTTGTGTTAGTCGGTGGTTGTCCCCTCCCCTTGGTTAGTATGAACACAGGGAGTCGGGGAGGACTATTCCTGTCCCAAAGCGAGAGTGGAGGTGAGAGTGGACCGCGAGCCAGCGGGCGGCGGCCGTGGAACAGGTGTGAGTGCGGCGGCGGGGCTGCCCGCGGGGAGGGGCGCCCTTTGGGGAGACGCGAGGGGAAATTCCAAGGGACGGGCAGTGAGCCGTGTGTGGGCTGAAGAGTTGTGTCTGCCTCTGACTGTGTGTCTGTGTGCGCTGAGGGAGGCGGGGGCTGAGTCAGTGGGAACAGGGGCTGGTTTCTGAGTGACTCACTCCCCCACCCCAGCCTGATTCAGACCCTGAGAAGGGCTTTGTTCGTGGGGCGGGTGGGAAGTCAGGCGTCTGCGTCCCTGGTGGGGACACAGACCCGCGGTGATTGCCGAGAGCATGCTTAGAGTACAGGAAGTTTAGTTATGGAGCACTCCGTATTCCGGGGTGTAGCCGTGGGAGGGTGTAGATAAAGGTTGAAGATCAGAGGGCTGGAGAGACGGAATTCACCAGTTTAGGGAAAGCTGAGTCAGTTCCCCGTGGGAAAGGGGAAGTGGCAGAGGGGAAGTGTCATCATCGCAGAAAGGGAAGCTGCATTTCCTGGTAACTGGCAGCGCTGGGGCACCACTTCCTTAGTAGGGATCTGCTCCTTTCGTCTCTGGTCCCCTAAGGTGCCTTGGCCCACGTCTGGTCACTCGGTCCTCGCAGGGCTTGGCTGGAGCAGCCCATCTGGGCTCTTACTGTCCACAGTTTAGCGTCGACTTGGTAACTGGTAGACCGCGGCCTCCGGGTGTTTGGACCAGAGCTCCACGCGAACGGCAGGGCGAGGCGCCAGTTCCTACCTGGGCTCGCGCCGAGCCGCGCGCCGGGAATCGGTGGGACCCAAGCACTTCCATGCAAACAAACGACCTTGCCTCTGCGGGAGGAAAGACGGTTTTCACCAGAAACCCTCTGCCTTTGTGGGCTGGGTGGAAATTTCCCCACGGGGCAGACTTCTCGGCGAAGGCGAACTTTCCAGCCGCCCCCAACCCCTTGCAGTGCGCTCTCCCCCGGCTTCCTGCCCGGCGCCTGCTCCAGCTGGAGCGCTAGCCCCGCCCCCGCCGCTTTGTACTCGACTCTAGCCTCTCGCCGCTCTTTGTACTCTAGACTCTCAATGGACCGATCCTGGGAGCGGAGCCGGCTCCCTACCTGCCAGGACTTGGGGTAGGCGCCGGGACGCAGCGTCTGGGCTCTTGAGAGGCGAGAAGGAAGAGTTGGGACAAAGGGAAGGTGCCTAGGAGAAGGGAGTGCTGTGTCGGTGGTGGGTCGCGTCCACACAGACGGGAAGGGGGGGGGTTGCGTGAAGGAGGAAGTGAAACGGATTCTGGGTTCTTTAAGGGAGTAGGCGGCGTGAGTGGGACAAGGGTGATGTCACTGCCTGTTGGGCCCCGCCTTCCTCCCTCCCGAAGGACCCCCCCCCCACACACACCGCTTCCGCTGCGCAAGTAGCCACGTCACGGGCAACCCCCGAAATCCCCCCTCCTTTGGGGGGCGGGGGCCACGTGGGCCGTGGGGAACCGCGTGGCCCCGGCACGGAAAGGGCTTAGAGGATACAGGAGCCACGCGAGAGGGGCCTCTCGGGACCACGGTGCGCAGCTTCCCAGAAGGGGGGCTAGGAGAACTGGCTTAGGGGGTCGATTGAAGTTGAAGACCTAGAGAACCAGGGAAAGTGGAGGAACTGGAGGAACTAGGTATGACACTGGGGACTTGCCCACGATTTGGGACCCGGTCAGGCGTTGGAGGTGGAGCACTTAGATGGACGCTGACCCCTTTGGGTGCTGGATTTGCTGTGATTGCTGGGACCTAAGCAGTTCTAAGGGGCGCTCAGGGTAGAGAGGTCAGTCGCTAGGCGAGGTGAAGCGAGGAGGGGGAATGATGTCTTTGTTTGTGTTTTGCATCCTGTGTCTGCAGTCCTGGGGGTAGCTGGTCAGAGGGCGACTTAAGCAGTCTGGTTGGGGACTACTGCCAGTTCGGTGGGATGTATGAGGCTTGTCCTCAGGCCGGCCAGTGCTCGATTCGCCACCTTCACTAGTGTGGGTCTTGCCTAGCAGACCTTACTTTCAATTACTGGCCTGCCAATTCAAGTATCTGATCTGAGATGTGGATCCTAGGTGGGAGCCTCGGGGTCATATCGGGGTCACCCTAGGGCGAGCTTGTCTGACCGGCCTTGCCGCCCCTCCTCCGGAGGCCGCTGAGTGTTGGGCTAAGTTCACTCCTATTGGCTCCTGCCAGGCTGTTACTGAGGCGGAGACACGGGTGATGATTGGCTTTCTGGGGCGAGAGGAAGTCTTGTGATTGGCCAGATATCTGGGGCTCCTGAAGCTGTGAGAGGACGCTCCCACAGAGGCTGGGTAAGCAGGAGGTCACCCAGTGGCCCTGGATTGCAGGCGAGTCCTACAGCGAAGCCATTGGGTTGCACCCACCGTTGGCTCTCCTAGCTTCTTGTCCTGCCTCCCTAGCATTCTACTCGCAGGGCTGCCAGAGGCTCCTTGGGCCTGTGGGCTTACCCTCTCTCTTCCTGAACAAATGATAGGCCTGTGGATGCCATAGGCAGTTCAGACCAGCACCTGGGCCCTGACTGCTGGCAAGCACATTCAACTCTTTCCTTCTCTCTGTAGAATTGACTGCCAAAAGCCAGGGACTGCCATCTGGGGACAGTGGGCACTCTTGTTAAGAGCAATTGGAGCTGGACCATCGTGCCAGAGAGCTGGGGCAGGGGGCTGTGCCCGATCTCCAGGGCTCCTGGGTCCACTGCTGACCTGGTAAGGGAAAGACTGAGGCTGCATGTAGAGTGGTACTTCTGGTTTTGCCTCCATTAGAGCATGACCTCTTATCCCTGACTTAGGCTGGATGCATCGGGCAGTGGACCCTCCAGGGGCCCGCACTGCACGGGAAGCCTTTGCCCTTGGGGGCCTGAGCTGCGCTGGGGCTTGGAGCTCCTGCCCACCCCATCCTCCTCCCCGAAGCTCATGGCTGCCTGGAGGCAGGTGAGAACTTGGGCCATGACTCCCATCTCCAAGGCATTGCTCTTTCCATTTTACTACCCACCCATCTCTGTCATTCTCCAAGAATTTCTGCTATCTTGTGGTCCCCAATACCAGCCTCACCACTTATTCCCTTAGATTCCTCCTTCCTAGGGGGTAAGAACATTTCTTCTAGCAGTACAGAAAGACCCATCTCTTTCCAGATGCTCGGCCAGCATTGGGCAGCCCCCACTCCCTGCTCCCTTACCCCCTTCACATGGCAGTAGCTCTGCGCACCCCAGCAAACCATATTATGCTCCTGGGTAAGTGGAGAGTCAAAGGTTCTAGGATGGGAGGTAAAGGTGGGGACTTGAACATATTCCCCCAAGCCTGATCACTCCCAACCTCTTCTACTCTTTAGGACACCCACTCCAAGACCCCTCCATGGGAAGCTGGAATCCCTGCATGGTTGTGTGCAGGCATTGCTCCGGGAGCCAGCCCAGCCAGGGCTGTGGGAACAGCTTGGACAGTTGTATGAGTCAGAGCATGACAGTGAAGAGGCCATATGCTGCTACCACAGCGCCCTTCGATATGGTGGGAGCTTCGCTGAGCTGGGGCCCCGAATTGGCCGACTGCAGCAGGTAGGATGAGGCAAGACATAGGTGGCTAAGATTGTGCCCTCTGGTTCAGTGTCCCAACCCACGTCTTAATCTGTCCTTTGACACCTCCCCCAGGCCCAGATCTGGAACTTTCATGCTGGTTCTTGTCAGCACCGAGCAAAAATCCTGCCCCCCCTGGAGCAAGTGTGGAACTTACTGCACCACGAGGTAAGGCTGTGGCTGAGTGAGATAGGGAAGAGAGCTAAGGCAGGCCAGCACACATGCATTCTCTTTTTTTTCCTCAGCACAAACGGAACTATGGGACCAAGCGAGGCGGTCCTCCAGTGAAGCGATCTGCTGAGCCCCCAGTGGTGCAGCCTATGCCTCCTGCTGCACTCTCAGGCCCCTCAGGAGAGGAGGGCCTCAGCCCTGGAGGCAAGCGAAGGAGAGGCTGCAGCTCTGAACAGGTATGCTTGTTAGCCCACCATCAGGTAAAGAGGGTGCATGTCTGGGGCAAGGGGTGGGAGTGGGATTCTCACACTCTTCTCTTCTAGGCTGGCCTTCCCCCAGGCCTGCCACTCCCTCCACCACCATTACCGCCGCCACCTCCACCCCCCCCACCGCCCCCACCACCGCTGCCTGGCCTGGCTACCAGCCCCCCATTTCAACTGACCAAGCCAGGGCTGTGGAGTACCCTGCATGGAGATGCTTGGGGCCCCGAGCGCAAGGGTTCAGCACCCCCAGAGCGCCAGGTGAGCCCCTCCCTATTGCCCATTGCCTTTTTATCTCCTGCAAGCTCACTATTTCATTCCTCATACTATGTGACTTCATTTATCTCCCATAGGAACAGCGGCACTCGCTGCCTCACCAGTATCCATACCCAGCTCCTGCCTACACCGCTCATCATCCCCCCAGCCATCGGCTGGTCCCAGCCACACCCCCAGGCCCCGGCCCCCGCCCCCCAGGAGCAGAGAGCCATGGCTGCCTGCCTGCCACCCGTCCCCCCGGAAGTGACCTTAGAGAGAGCAGAGTTCAGAGGTCGCGGATGGACTCCAGCGTTTCACCAGCAGCAACTACCGCCTGCGTGCCTTACGCCCCTTCCCGGCCCCCTGGCCTCCCCGGCACCAGCAGCAGCAGCAGCAGCAGCAACAGCAGCAGCAGCAACAACAACAACAACAACACTGGTCTCCGGGGCATTGAGCCGAGCCCAGGCATTGTATGTAATGACCTTGTGCAGATGGGTGGGGGTGTCAGAAAAGCCTATCTGAGGAGGCCAGAGCAACACTCTGACCTGCCCATCTTACCCTTGCAGCCCGGCGCTGACCATTACCAAACTCCTGCGCTGGAGGTCTCCCCTCACCAGGGCCGCCTGGGGTCCTCGGCACATAGTAGTCGGAAACCATTTTTAACAGCTCCTGCTGCCACTTCCCACTTATCCCTGCCACCTGGGACCCCATCATCCCCTCCACCCCCCTGTCCACGCCTCTTGCGTCCTCCACCACCCCCTGCTTGGATGAAGGGCTCAGCCTGCCGGTCAACCCGAGAGGATGGAGAGATCTTAGAGGAGCTCTTCTTTGGGGCTGAGGGTCCTCCCCGCCCTCCCCCACCACCCCTCCCCCACCGTGATGGCTTCTTGGGATGAAGCTTGCTCTTTGTTTCTGCAGCCTCCCTTGGAGGTCCCACTCCCCCAACCACCAGCAGTAGCAGCAGCAGCAGCAATGGCAGCCACAGCAGCAGCCCTACTGGGCCTGTGCCCTTTCCTCCACCCCCCTATCTGGCCAGAAGTATGGACCCCCTTCCCCGGCAGCCCAGCCCAACACTGAGCCCCCAGGACCCACCCCTTCCACCCCTGACTCTTGCCCTGCCTCCAGCCCCTTCCTCCTCCTGCCATCAAAATACCTCAGGAAGCTTCAGGCGCTCGGAGAGCCCCAGGCCGAGGGTCTCCTTCCCAAAGACCCCCGAGGTGGGGCCAGGGCCATCCCCAGGCCCCTTGAGTAAAGCCCCCCAGCCTGTGCCACCTGGGGTTGGAGAGCTGCCCACCAGAGGCCCACGGCTCTTTGATTTTCCACCAACCCCACTGGAGGACCAGTTTGAAGAGCCAGCAGAATTCAAGATCCTACCTGATGGGCTGGCTAACATCATGAAGATGCTGGATGAATCCATTCGAAAGGAGGAGGAGCAGCAGGAACAGGAGGCAGGCGTGGTTCCCCCACCCCCACTCAAAGAGCCCTTTGCATCTCTACAGCCTCCATTTCCCAGTGAGCTGGCCCCAACCACCACTGCTGCTGCCACCACTGTCGCCACCACCACCACAACTACCACCACCACAACCACCACCCAAGAAGAGGAGAAGAAGCCACCACCAGCCCTACCACCACCACCGCCTCTAGCCAAGTTTCCTCCACCCCCACAGCCACAACCCCCACAGCCCCCACCACCTCCACCTGCCAGCCCGGCCAGCCTGCTCAAATCCTTGGCCTCTGTGTTGGAAGGACAAAAGTACTGTTACCGAGGGACTGGAGCAGTGGTTTCAGCCAGGCCTGGGTCCTTGTCCGCCACTCAGTATTCCCCTGGTTCTGTATCAGGTGCTAACGCCCCACTGCCCACTTCAGTGGCCCCTAGCGCCCAGGGCTCCCCCAAGCCCTCTGCTTCCTCGTCATCTCAGTTCTCTACCTCAGGTGGGCCCTGGGCCCGGGAGCGCAGGGCAGGCGAAGAGCCAACACCAGGCCCTGCCACCCCTGCCCAGCTGCCCCCACCCCTGCCACTGCCCCCTGCTCGCTCTGAGTCTGAGGTGCTAGAAGAGATCAGTCGGGCTTGTGAGACCCTTGTGGAGCGGGTGGGCCGGAGTGTCATCAACCCAGTAGACCCAGTGGACACAGCAGACCCAGTGGACGGTGGGACTGAGAGACTGCTGCCTCCTGCACAGGCCAAGGAGGAGAGTGGTGGGGTGACAGTGGTGGCAGCAGGGCCAGGGAGTGGCAAGCGGCGGCAAAAAGAGCACCAGAAGGAGCACCAGAAGGAGCACCGGAGGCATAGGCGGGGCTGTAAGGACAGTGTGGGTCGCCGGCCCCGTGAGGGGAGGGCAAAGACCAAGGCCAAGGCTCCCAAAGAAAAGAGCCGAAGGGTGCTAGGGAACCTGGACTTGCAGAGTGAGGAGATCCAGGGTCGGGAGAAGGTTCGGCCTGATCTAGGTGGGGCTTCCAAAGTCAAGACATCCACAGCTCCAGCGCCTCCACCTGCTCCTGCACCCTCTGCTCAGCCAACACCCCCATCAGCCCCTGTTCCTGGGAAAAAGCCTCGAGAAGAAGCTCCAGGGCCCCCAGGTGTGAGCCGTGCTGATATGTTGAAGCTGCGGTCACTTAGTGAGGGACCTCCCAAGGAGCTGAAGATCCGGCTCATCAAGGTAGAGAGTGGTGACAAGGAGACCTTTATCGCCTCTGAGGTGGAAGAGCGGCGACTACGTATGGCAGACCTTACCATCAGCCACTGTGCTGCTGATGTAGTGCGTGCCAGCAAGTGAGTTAGGGCAGTAATACCCAAGGCTGCCCACTTGGTCTGGGGATAGGCCCTTCATTATCCCATGTTTCTGTCCTCATTCCTGTCTTCTCACAGGAATGCCAAGGTCAAAGGGAAGTTTCGAGAGTCCTACCTTTCCCCTGCCCAGTCTGTAAAACCGAAGATCAACACTGAGGAGAAGCTGCCCCGGGAAAAACTGAACCCCCCTACACCTAGTATCTATGTATGTATGACATCTGTCCTCAGAACCACCCCTCCTCAGAACACACCTCTAGGGTGTCATTGGGGTTGGATGGGGTACTTAGAACCTAGGACAAGTCTGATCCCAGCATCTCTCTCCTTTCAGCTGGAGAGCAAACGGGATGCCTTCTCACCAGTGCTGCTGCAGTTTTGTACAGACCCTCGAAACCCCATCACCGTAATACGGGGCCTGGCTGGTTCCCTGAGGCTGAGTGAGTTGGGGCCACTGAGTATGGGGAAGGCTATACAGATTTTGGTGTGTGGGACTTTTTGAGAGTCCCTCCAGCCCAATGCTTGTAGACTGAGCACAGTAGCTGTGTATAAGGAGCCCCCCACTCAGTCATGCACATGCGCAGGCCATGTTTGAGGGGTGCTCTGAGGGGTGGTCAGCCAGCCTTGGGATTTTCTCCCATCTCTTTCTGATCCTAACAGTGGGTACATGAGAAGATGGATCTCAGGGCTAGTTAGAGCCACCTCTTTTTCTTAGTGATAATGAAAACAATAGGGGCTGGAGAGATGACTCAGTGGTTAAGAGCAACAGCTGCTCTTGCAGAGGACCCAGGTTTGGTTCCCAGCACCCACATGGCAGCTAACAGCCATCTGTAACTCTAGTACCATGGGATCCAATACCCTCCTGACCACGGGCACTGCATGATATGGGTACATTTACATACATGCAGGCAATACACTCATACACATAAAATAAAAATAATAAAGAAAAGAAAAAACTGGGCATGGTGCTGTACACCTTTAATTCTAGCACTCAGGAGGCAGAGGCAGGAGGATGGCTCTCTTGAGATGGAGACCAGCCTGGTCTACATAGTGAATCCCAGTCCAGCTGGGGTTGCAGGGAGACCCTGCCTCAAAAAAATTAAAAAAAAAAAGAATGAAAAAATAGATTATAAATGTCTGAGCTGTGGTTTGGACTTTTTTTTTCAACCTTTTATTGTGTACAATTTTAAACATTATTTAAAAAAAGAGGAAACATATAGAAATATAAAGGTTAGTCTTGTTTCCTTTGTTCCCCTATGTCTTCTTCTTGTCCCAGTGAATTATTTGATGCACATTCAGGCTTATTGACTGGATTCGTGAATTGATTGCCTACTATGTGGCCATATTGTACATCTGAGGATTCTAGATGAGGGACTAAGGAAGGCCTGGAGTGGCCGTGGGACAAAGGGGCTGGGAGGACCAATATAGCTAGCCTCGCAGCCTCCTGGGGCTGGGATTCTTGTCCATTCCCTGGTGCTGAGTTCTGCCAGGTCAATGTCTACCTAGTTAGAGGTGTTGCCAGTTGGAGGTGAGTTGGGCCCTGTGTCCTGACTGACAGCCTGTGCGGTTTTCTTTTGCAGACTTGGGCCTCTTCTCCACCAAGACACTGGTGGAGGCCAGTGGTGAGCACACTGTGGAAGTACGTACCCAAGTGCAGCAGCCCTCAGATGAGAACTGGGACCTGACAGGTACACGACAGATCTGGCCCTGTGAGAGTTCCCGTTCACATACCACCATCGCTAAGTATGCGCAGTACCAGGCTTCGTCCTTCCAGGAGTCACTGCAGGTGAGGACCAGGTGCAAGTGGAAAGAAGGGTGCTGGGAATCTGGCTTTGTTGGGCTTCAGGAAGGTCACTGACCCAGGCTTACCTACCCATCTGACCAAGCAGGAGGAGAAGGAGAGTGAGGATGAGGAGTCAGAGGAGCCGGATAGCACTACAGGAAGCCCTCCTAGGTAGAGTTTGGTCCCTTCCTGTACTGCTCTTTTGTTCTCTTTGTTCTCCACCAACCTCTCTGTGTTCTTGCCCCAGCAGCAGCACACCAGACCCGAAGAACCATCACATCATCAAGTTTGGAACCAACATCGACCTGTCTGATGCCAAGCGGTCAGTGAGGCAAAGTTGGGGCAAAAGCCCTGCTGGCTACCTGCTCTGGGATACCCTCTCACTTTAGTGGTCTTGTATCTGTAGGTGGAAGCCCCAGCTACAGGAACTGCTGAAGCTGCCTGCCTTTATGCGGGTAACATCCACAGGCAACATGCTTAGTCATGTGGGCCACACTATCCTGGGCATGAACACTGTGCAGCTGTACATGAAGGTCCCTGGCAGCAGAACACCAGGTGTGCTTCTCATTCTGTGCTGGGTGTGGGAAGTGTGTTGGAGCTGGCTGCTTCAGGCATCAGCCAATGAGGGTCAAGAGGGGTTGGCGCAGAGCACAGGCAATCCCGGACCATCCCTGACGCTCTGTCTCCCTCTGCAGGCCACCAAGAGAATAATAATTTCTGCTCTGTCAATATCAACATTGGCCCTGGTGATTGTGAGTGGTTTGCAGTACACGAGCACTACTGGGAAACCATCAGCGCCTTCTGTGATCGGTGGGCATCACCCCCTTGCTAGTCACCCACCACATGGGTCCCCAGGCCTCCTACCTGACCTTGTGGCTGCCCACTCCACAGGCATGGTGTGGACTACTTGACCGGTTCCTGGTGGCCAATCCTGGATGACCTCTATGCTTCCAATATTCCTGTGTACCGGTTTGTGCAGCGCCCTGGAGACCTTGTGTGGATTAATGCAGGAACTGTGCATTGGGTGCAGGCTACTGGCTGGTGCAACAACATTGCCTGGAACGTGGGGCCCCTCACCGGTGAGAGGGTGGGGTCGGGTCATCATGGAAAAGGGGTAGGGAGTGAGTCCAGTGGTAGAGGTGGGCCTGGGGAGCCCACCCCCCTGAGGGAAGGGGCTAGCTCAAGTGGCAGGGGCCTTGTTTGAGAATCCTGTAGTGACTCCCTCTGGCCTGCAGCCTATCAGTACCAGCTGGCCCTGGAACGATATGAGTGGAATGAGGTGAAGAACGTCAAATCCATTGTGCCCATGATTCATGTGTCCTGGAACGTGGCTCGCACTGTCAAGATCAGCGACCCTGACTTATTCAAGATGATCAAGTGAGGCCCCTGTTTGGGTGGCAGCCCACCCTCACCTGATCTGTTTCTGCCCTTGTTCTTCCTGACTGCCCCATTCTTCACCTGTATTGTCACCCATATCTGCAGTATGCTCATAGCACATGCTGGGGAGGCTGACAACCCTATTCTCAGAACCTTTATTTCCTGTGGTCCAAACAGACAACAAAAACCAACAAAACCCTGAAATGTCAAATGTGACAGATACTCAGGACAAGACATATAACCCAGGAATGAAAAGGGAGGGCTGCCTAGGGAGGACTATGGGGCCAGGACTTCAGGGGGCTTGGTCTCTTTCCCATCTGCCCCTTCCAGCTCTGCCTCATCTGCCCCTTCTGGCAGCCCTTGTCTCAGCACCACTTCTGGCTCCTCCCAGGTTCTGCCTCCTGCAGTCCATGAAGCACTGCCAGGTGCAGCGGGAGAGCCTGGTTCGGGCTGGGAAGAAAATCGCTTACCAGGGTCGGGTAAAGGACGAGCCTGCCTACTACTGTAATGAGTGCGACGTAAGTGTGCCTGCTCCCCGTGCCCGGGAGATGCCCGCGGTAGCCCGCCCTCCTGGTGACTGCCCCTTGCCCCTGGCCAGGTGGAGGTGTTCAACATCCTGTTCGTTACAAGTGAGAACGGCAGCCGAAACACATACCTGGTGCACTGCGAGGGCTGCGCACGGCGTCGGAGCGCCGGCCTCCAGGGCGTGGTGGTGCTAGAGCAGTACCGTACAGAGGAGCTGGCGCAGGCCTACGACGCCTTCACGCTGGTGAGCTAGGGGCTCCGGAGGGGCGGGGGCGGCCCGGCACGCACACCCACCGCTGAGTTGCCCGCTTTCTCTCGGCAGGCCCCCACTAGCACGTCGCGATGAGGCCGGACGCCCCGCTCGCCCGTCCCCCCTGCAGGGCGCCGCGGGGCCACCAGCACACGCCTGGGCTGGACCTAGGTCCCGCCTTTGGCCGGGAAGGGGTAGGGCCTTGCCCCTCCGCCCTATTGGCAGCTCCCCTCACTTAATTTATTAAGAAAAATTTTTTAACAAATATGAGGAAAAAAGGAAAAAAAAAACGGGAGACGGGGGAGGGGGCTGGCAGCCCCTCGCCCACCAGCGCCTCCCTTCACCGACTTTGGCCTTTCTAGCAGCAGACACAAGGACCAGGCTCCGGCGGCGGCGGGGGTCACATACGGGTTCCCTCACGCCTGCCCGCCGCGCCCGCCGCCCGCCCGCCCGCTGGCGCAGATGCTCGCGGCTCGTTGTGTACATAGACGTTCGGCAGCCGAGGTTTTTAATGAGATTCTTTCTATGGGCTTTACCCCTCCCCCAGAACCTCCTTTTTTACTTCCAATGCTAGCTGTGATCCCTGTATATGTCTCTGTTTATTCACTTGGTTATGATTTGTATTTTTTGTTGTTTTTTGTTTTTAATTTATAACAGTCCCACTCACCTCTATTTATTCATTTTTGGGAAAACCCGACCTCCCGAACCCCCAAGCTACCCCTCCCACCTCTCGGGGGCGCCCGCTCCTGGGCTCTCCCTGCGCTCCAGTGTATGTCCGGCCCGTCCGTCTCCACCCGCCCGCGGCTCCAGCCCGGCTCTCATGGTGCTCAAACCCGCTCCCCTCCCCGACGTCCTGCACTTTCTCGGACCAGTACCCCCACTCCCTACCCGACCCCAACCCCATCTGAGGGTGAGCGACTCCTGTACTGTAGGGGAAGAAGTGGGAACTGAAATGGTATTTTGTAAAAAATAAAAATAAAATAAAAAATTTAAAAGTTTTAAAGAAAGAACTATGAGGAAAAGGAACCCTATCCTCCCCAGCC